AAGGGTCAGGATGCCCATACTGGCCAGCTGCCAAAAAAATTTTAAAGGTTTATAAACTATTTATATGGAAACATTTTTAATGGGTGATAAGGGTTTCGAAAGAGAAAAACATACCATCTGCCTAACATTATTAGGGAAGAAGAAAATAATAAAGAAGTTGAGCTAGTCTATTTTACAAAAATCTAAACCACAAACTTAATAGGAAAAACACCCCTCCCACAAGTTTATATTTAATTTTGGTTGATTTGCATTTCCCCAATGACTAGTGATGTTGAGCATTTTTTCATGTACCTGTTGGCCATTTGTATGTCTTCCTTTGAAAATGCCTCTTCAGTTCCTTTGCCCATTTTTTAATTAGGTTATTTGATTTTTACTGTGTAATTGCTTGAGTTCCTTGTATATTATGGATATTAATCCCTTGTCAGACACATAGTTAGCAAACATTTTCTCCCACTCTGTAGGTTGTCGTTTCATTGTGATGATTGTTTCCTTTGCTGTGCAGAAGGTTTTGAATTTGATGTAGTCCTATTTGTTTATTTTTTCTTTTATTGCTTATGCTCTCAGGCTCATGTTCATAACATCTGTGCTCAGACCTAGTTCCTGAAGTGTTTCACTTATTTTTTTACTTAGTAATTTTACAGTTTCAGGTCTATTTATGTCTTTAATCCATTTTGCATGTCTAGTTTCATTCTTCTGCATATGGATATCCAATTTTCTCAGCATCACTTATTGAAGAGGCAGTCTTTTCCCCAATGTATTACTATTATTATTTTTTTTTTGCCTTTGTGAAATGTCAGATGGCTGTAAGCCTGAGGGGTGATTTCTGGTTTCTCTATTCTGCTCTACTGGTCCAAGTGTCAATTTTTATGCCAGTACCATACACCCTGGTTAGACTGGCTATAATAAAAAAGACAGAGAATAGCAAATTCTGGTGAGGGTGTGGAGAGAAGGGAACACTCCTATGCCGTTGGTGGGACTGTAAGTTAGTACAACTACTATGCAAAACAGTATGGGGGGTTCTCAAACAATTACAGAGAGATCTTCCATATGATCCAGCAATCCCACTTTTGGGTATATACTCAAAGGAATGGAAATCATCATGTCGAAGGAATACCTGCACTCCCATGTTTATTGCAGCTCTGTTCACAATAGCCAAGATATGGAACCAACCTAAATGTCCATCGATGGATGATTGGATAAGGAAAATGTGGTATATATACACCATGGAATACTACACCATCAAAAAAAGAATGAAATTCTCCCATTTGCAACAACATAGACGAGCTTGGAGAAACTTATGTTGAGTGAAATAAGCAAAATACTGTATGTACTCACTCATAAGTGGGAGCTAAGAGAGAAAAAAGGAAGTAAAGAAAGACCATAGTAGTGTTTTGGACTTGTAGAGGGAGAGAACATACCTAGGGATACAAAGTGGAGTGGAGAAAAGGGGATAGGGAGGGAGGTTGGGGATAATTGGGGGGATAACTGGGTGGGAGACATGGGGTATAATCACAATTTGTAGTAATGGGCATGCTGCCCAGTATGGATCTGGCCATCACATCTTAGGCATGAGTTATGACAATTTACTTTGTACCCTATGAATATTCATAACCAATAAAAATGAATTAATTAATTAATTGAAATAAATATATAAATAGATAAATAAATAAATTAATATATTGATCCTGGAAAAAATATAATAATTTTGTTTGATTATTTTCAATAATCCTACATAATTAGTTATATAGCAAACGTGATAAATTTCAAAATCCTGATGCAATATTAATTTATAAGTCACCATATAGCTGTTTATCTTTTGTGAAATTCACTTGTCTCATCTTTTGTTATTAAATAAATGTATAAGTACTTGTTTAAGCAATGTTTCTGAGGTTTTTTTTGTTTGTGTGCCTGTTGTAAAATATTCTAGAATATTGTATATTTATAAAATTAAATATCATTAAATTAAAATATCACAAATGAACATAGGCAACCATCTCTTACCATTATCTCCAGGCTATATAATCAAATTTTGTGTCGTCCATTGGCCCTCTTTCCACAAACCACTCAATGACCGATACAAGCCATGGAACCAAAAGAGGCTTAATAGGAACAATTTGGGATTTGCATCTTAAACGTATATGCTCAAATTACACACACACACACACACACACACACACACACACACGGGCACACACACACAAAGGTATTTCAAAACTTCATAGAAAGATTTATATTACCTTTTAATTTTATTTTTCATGAGCTTTTTGAAATTTACTTATATATACACATGTATGTACAAATAATATTTTTTAAAACTTCAGTACTCATTTAGCTAAACATATAAACACATGAATTACTGAATAAAGCACATGAATTACTAAATAAACACATGAATTTCAGTAAATCACTGTTTAATAAAGTTATTCTTCTACAGAACATACCACCAAGTTGTTCACTATTAGTACAGATTTTTTGAGGATGTAGTGAATAATTCACCACACTATCATAATTTAAATATCAAAAAGTGGATTAATGTTGTATTGTTTGAAAGGAAAGAGCAATTTGTTTGCTCATAATCACGAGCTCCTTTAAGTTCTTCCTGTAATAGGGTACATGCTGTGTGATACACTTCTTTATTCTTTAGGACTTTGTATGCCTGATAGGAGTAGCACCATACTGGGCAAAGAAAGGAACACACAACAATCCTGTGAAAGTGCATGGTGTTTGAAGGAATGGCATCAGATTGCGACTGGTGTACAGTTTGTGTGTGTGCGTATGGGTGGCGGGGGCTGTGCATGTGCATCCGCAACGATACCGAAAAAACTGCTCACAGTATCTGTCAGTGGTGGTAAAGTTCAGAGGGCAGTAAAACAAAATCAAATAACCATATTAGATTATTATGACCCATGTATTCCATGCTAAATTGTTTGATATAAATTCTTTGTGTTTTTAAGATTATATAGTTTTTCATTCCACACAGTAGTAACTAGAATGGCTAACACACGGCAAGCCCTCCAAAGTTATATTGCATGTTTGCATAAATGATTAAATGATATGATGTACAACTGAATGACAGATGGTTTAACACTTGATTTAATGTATCACTTTTGCATTTTGTAGTGCAACTGTGATATCAGAATGCACAGAAGATATGTAATCACATGGATGAGACAGCAAGAGACATGAGTATATGGGCAACTGCAGGGTTGAGAGAAAAATGACACAGGAAATATTTAATAAGCATTTACTTACTCGTTTATGAGGCAGATATATAGAATTTGGTGACTAACAATATGAAGTTAGGGTTTGGAGGCAAGGGAAGAGGGTCATGGCTAAGTTCTTGTTCTTTGCAAATTTTGCTGCATTTTAAATGCCTCTCTGCATTTAATGAAAAAGAATGACATCATTAAATAGTGTATTTTCTAAGACCTCCATTATTCTTAGAGTTCTGAAATGGGGCAGCAGGTTTAAATTTTATGTATCTCTAAATGGAATACAGAGGAAATAAGTTACTGGAAAGGGATATAATTTAGGATTCTTCATTTTTTAAAAATATTAAATTTAGAGTTATTGGCTCTTTTGATTCCGGACATAAAAATGGTCTGCTACTAAGATAAAAATGGGTTCATTTTGGATGAACTCTGGTGGTAGCTGGCTGGGGTATAATTTAGGGCCCTGGCACTGTAGGATGTAAAAGCATAACCTGCTATTATCTCTACTTCCCTGCTGGTACCTTTCTCTGTTGACCTAGCACATTTTCCCCTTTGATTCTAGCTCTTCCAGTTGAGGGATGATGGGAAAGAAATAAAGAGGAGGAAAATTAAATGAACAGAAGCAGGATAGGGCAGAACCTTGGAGTTAAATTTCTTCTGACCTCTCCCAGGGAAACAAAAAGCGGCTATTATTAAGTGCTTACTAGGACAAGGAAAGTTATTCATTCATTTATTCAATCAGCACAGACACTGTATACCTATGATGTACCTGCTGTGCCAGTAGACTCATGTTAATTAGTTCAAATTTGACAGGAGACATTATACACAGGATAAAACAAAAATAAAGGTGTTCCTGAGATATAGTTTGTAGATCAATCGCCATATACTTGCTTATAATTGAAATGCATCTGAAAAGTTCACTTACATAATGCATTAGAATAGTTATTTGAATGTGAATTTTAAAATTAATAAAACACTTATTTTCCATTTTGTCTGGTTTGTAAGTTATTTTTATACATCAGATCCTTTATAAAATGCCATTCTCGGACTAGTATCAAGTGCCACATTTCTCATTAAAGGTGTGATAATTTGAGGGAGGTTTTAACATTTGATCATGATTTATATTCTTTGTGGCGTATTTAATGTTATTTAAATGACAAAATATAGCATTTAAGAATCATATGATGGTCATCTTTCTAGCTATATTTTTTTCAATTACTGTTAGCCTCTAACACTGATAGTTTCCCATGCGTAACGAAAACTTCTCCCTTTGGGCAAATAGGCACCTCACTCAATCATTGCCTACTTTTAATCTTAAAATAACAATGTTGTAGTACACTTTTAAGATGAGAGAATATCATTGCTGGTTTTATACTTAAGAACAAAATATATATGTCTTAGATTATGGAAGTTTATATTATTTCATAAGGAGTTTATATATTTGTGTCTCTTTGGTATAATCAGTGATGTGTGTGAAGTGTCCGTGAACATGAACAGTTGTTTCACTTAGCAGAACACAACACTTTAGTGTCTATCAAATCAAGGAAAATGAATTGCCAGGACATTATAGTGAATGGAAACAGCAGCAACTTAACATTATTACAACAGAAGCATCATTATCGGTGTCCTCTACATTTGGGAGTATTAGGCATGCCATCTAGGAATGACTTTTTGATTTAAGTTATTTTCATTGTTTCAAAAAAAAAAAAAGTACAAGTATTCACTCAAGTGGATTTTTTTTCTAATAAATAACTACCAGTGAAAAATATATTATTTCTTGTCTTCCAGGTAATACAGCAAAAGTGTACATTGAGATTCAGGATGAAAATGATCATCCCCCAGTGTTTCAGAAAAAATTCTACATTGGAGGTGTATCTGAAGATGCAAGAATGTTTGCTTCTGTGCTCAGAGTGAAGGTATGTGAAAATATGTTAAGATACAGAAGTAAAGGAAAAGCAAGGAGCTTAGGTTTTGCAGAAAAACTATAACCTTGTAGTTTGCATTAACTGCATATTGATTCATGCTATATACACAAAGCCTGAAACTTGGAGATATATGAGTTTAATTGTCCAAACTAAATACAGATTAATTAAAAGAGGTGGGCACTAAGAGACTTTTTGGGTTTTTTAACTATAAAAATGGGAACAAATTACTTACGATGTGTTTCATTGAATAAGAATTTTTTTTTAAATGTGTATGTTTTTCTAGAAGGTTTTTATGTCCAATACGTTTAATTCAAGATAACTCAAAAGATTCTCAAAATGGAATTTCTGTTACCACTTCTAATAGAAGGAATAATGTATTAAATTATGTAATAATTTGTTTTCAATATTTTTTTAAATTTAAAATACTGGTTAAATAAATGTAAAAAAATAGCACTACTAATTTTAGTATTTTATTAAAAGTTAAAATAACTTGATATGTCAGAAAGTTTTTGCTAAATTACTTAGAGTTATAAAAACACAATATCTAAGACTAAAGTTGATAATTTTCAATTTTTGTTTAACTAGTAATTATAAAACATATATAAAGATACTTTAAATGGTTGACAATACAAATACTTGCAGTAATTTTATTACTAAGAAATATATTTTAGAACATTGCATTTCACTGGGGAAAGTTTAGAGTTTAGAACATCTTAGATTCTCAACTACAATTATTTTTCAGAAAGTATTTTAATAGTAATTTTTTTAAAAAATAAAATGTTTGTGTTGTGCTTGCAAAATAGCTTTTTCACCATGCCAAGTACTGAATCACCAGTCATAACTAAAAGTGGTCCAGAAATTTATCAGTTACAATATATCCAAATCACATTATCATTTAATAGTAACAGCATTTTGCCACTGGTTTTTATCTTATTTTACAATTTAGCTCCTTTAACCATTGATTAATTCAGTTCGATCATTTAGTCATATATTTTTGAGTATTTACAGTATACCACACACTGTTTTAGAAGTTGGATATAGAACAATTGAAAAAAACAATCAAACAAACAAGAAAATAAAGTTCTCACCTTAATAATGAAGACAAACTAGTGGAGGAAACAAATGGATCATTCAGTCATGTAGTGATAAATTCTAAGAAAAAAAGGAAAAGCTTGGTAAGGGGATGGTGACATTTTAGATAAGAAGGTTGTAGTGGACTGAATTATGTCCCCACAAAACTCCCTGAAGCTTGAATTGTATCCCCAGAGTTTTATGTGTTAGAAACTTAGCCCCCACGGTGACTGTTAACAGGGTGGGAAATCCTATTATGGTAATTGAAAGGTGGAGCCTTGAAGATGTGATTATATTGTAGGACCATGCAGTAGTGAATGGATTAAAAATGGTGGTCAGGGCATGGTTCTGAGGGCTTTAAAAGAAGAGGAGAGTCTCTTTTGCTCTCTCTCTGCTCTCTCTGCTTCTACCATCTTGCAGTGTGAGACCCCTGGGTCACTGTCACCACCAGATGGACTTTGGACTTCCTAGACTCAAAAACAGTAAGCAATAAATATTGTTTTCTTTATAAATTACCCAGTTCCAGGTATTTTGTTATAAGCAATATAAACGGACTAATACAAAGGTAAAAAGAGTTCACTCTGGTGGCAAAACTTAAACAGTGACCTAAATAAAGGAAAAGAGCAAGAATTGTGGATTTGTAGAGGAGTATTCTGTAGGTTCCTTTATAAAGCCCCTAAAGTTTGAAAGAGCTTGAAGACCAGTGTGATTGAAAAAGACTGGTTGGAGATGAGACTGGAAATGTAGCCTGGGGCTAGAATTTCTCCTAAGTGTGTTGGAAAGAAAGTCTTTGGATGATTTTGACCAGAAGTATGACACAGTTCAATATAAAAGGATTATTCTAGATGCTGCTCGGGGTGTGGGTTGGGAGTGGATAACACAGTGTTTTCAGACCAGAGTAAGAGCACAGTCTAATGCGTTACTAGTCTAGGACAAATTTGATGATAGCTTCAACCATGGTGGTGGGCTGTGGAGATGGTGAGAAAGGACTCAAAAGGTAGGACCTAAAGGATTTGCTTACAGATTCTGTGTGGTGCATTAGGGACAATCAAGAATGACTCTGAAGTTTTTGGTCTGGACAGGTCTCCTGTGTTTGTAAAGCTTTCTCAATATGCAAGCATAGTTCTTGGCAAGGCAGTTGCAGATGCTGATGTAGACTTAAGAGAGAAATCCTGGGCCAAGATAAAAATCACCTAGAGAATGGGGTTCACAGAAAAATTCAAATAAGCCCTGGAAACTTCAACATTCAGAAATCAGAAAGAGAAGGGGATCCATCAATGATACTACGAAGTTGCTGCAATGAGGTAACAGGAACACTAGAAAAATGGAAGGTCTGTGTGCTACATAAAGAACAAGATTGATAAAAGTGAGAGTGATCTACTGTCAAATGGTGCAATGAATAGAATGCCTCCGTGGACTTTTACATCACCACTTTTGCTAATAGGAGTATATTGTGGTGGAGAAAAGAAATAAGCCAAATGGGCTTAATAAAGGGGATTGCTCCAAAGGTCTGTAGATAAATATAACAAGGAAATTTAGTGGGTGGTATACCTGATGGAATTTACTTCAGAACAGATTAATGTTTTACAAGCAGCAATTGAGAGACAGAAGGATACCTATCCTCTATCTCTAGGCTCTGTGCAATATAAAGTATGGAAGACACTGCCTACACTTGAGAGCGATACAAAAAAGCAGTGACTTCTCTAAAGAAGGATGCAGGGAAGGGAAAGGAATCATAAAGTGTAGGTAATATTAACAGATTGAATATTTAAGAGACGTTGCTGATGGTGGATTATGAATTCCAAGGGATCCTGGGGAAAGTTTGGAGGTGCGGATAAAGGTGAAGTGGGAAACTGACATAACAATCAAGTGTGTAAAGAATTACATGGGAAGAAATGTCTGGGTGGTGAGATATGCCCTGGAAAGAACACGTGGACTTCTTGTGATGAGGTGAACAGGCGTGGGATTGACAGTTTCTTCAAGACTACTGAGAATTTTGTGGAATCCTCCACCTTCAATCTAACAGTGGGTTATTCAGGCTAGGTAAAGGAATTCTTTCCAGGAAACCAAGTTCATGCAAGGTAATATCTTAGGCACTTTATACAAGAGAGAGTGATCAAGAGGAGAGAGAGAGAGAGAGAGAGAGAGAGAGAGAGAGAGAGAGAGAGAGAGAGAGAGGAGAGAGAGAGTTTAGCAGTGCATTGATGCCAATATATGCTCGTATTATTCCATTTCTGTTGCTTATAACAGAACACCTGAAACTGGGTAATTTGTAAGAAAATGAAATTTATTTCTTACAGTTTGGAGGCTGGGAATTACAAAGTCTAGGACACACCTCACATGAGGGTCTTCTTGTTGGTGCAGAGTCCTGTGGAGACCCAGGTTATCACATAGTGAGAATGGTATGAGCAAGGGAGCTAACCTCTTCACTTGATCTCTTTATAAAGCCATCAGAACCATGCCCATGACTCCATGAATAGATCAGTCCATTTGAGAACACAGTCCTCACAATCTAATCACCTCTGAAAAGACCCCACCTTTCAAATACTATAATTGGATTTCCCATCCTCTTAACACTATTATGACGGAGATTAAGTTTCCAATTCATGAAGTTTTAGGGAATACATTTGATCCATAGCCATGCTGTAATAATCAATTTAATTTGGAGAGCACAAATTTCCATGTAGATTCAAAGGACAAAACATTTAAATGGGTGAAAGAACATTAAAGTTTTCCTGGAGAATGAAGAATTTAAGGCTAGTACTGAAAGGTGGATATATTTCCTGAAAGTGAAGTTTTCAGCACATAAGGAGGACAGTCTAAACAGAGGAAACAAAGAAAAACAAACAAACAAAAAAAACAGAAAAAATAAAATGCAGAGCATGTCTGCAGAGCAGTGATAGGAGGCAAGGGACTTTGGAGGTGATGGGAGTAATAAATCTTTAGCACTCACCATTTTCAGTTGCTGCCTTTGTCCTCAAAGCCTGGAATCTTCTTCTTTACAGAATTCAATCAGAGTACAAGTGAGTTAAGCAGTTCTCAATTCATACTTAGAGCAATGAAAATATTATTGGAAACATTACTGAATCAATGCTAGCCAAGCTGTGGTTTTTGAAAGAAAGATGATGTAAAAAATGGGGAAGTAATCCATGATTGTGAAAGAGGCTTTTATACCACTTACTATGTAATATTAGGTAATATAAGATTTCATCTCCCATGCATGCAAGTTACTATTTTTTTTTTAGTTCACCATGAAATGTAGTATGATAAAATTTAAATTAAAAAATGTACTGTGTTCAAGAAGGAGAAAAGGAAATGCTGCATAGAATAGGATTGGCAACGTAAGATGAGACTTTGAAATATCAAAGAAAGATATACTAATTTAAGATATGAACATCAGATTAAGGGCATTATTAAAAATATGATAAAAGAAAGAATATAGTAAGAATGTTATTGAAATGAATTATCTAATATAAGTGATAGTAAAATAAATTAAGCTGTATATTTTCTCTGAAGTGCATATCTAATATACTTAAAGACTTGTTAGGAATTCGTTTAAAAAAATGTATACTGTGTTCCTACTATATGCTGAAAATACAGAGACAAACAAAACAGACCGTACTTTTGCTTTTGTGGAGTTAACATTCTAGTGAACTAGAAGTCCCTCCACCCCAGTAAATAAATCATTACATAAGTTATAATTAAATTTGAATGTACAAAATACCTAACATAGTTTCAGTTCAGTATATACTATACTGAGTAGAAAATAATATAATCATCTGGAATATAGGTGAAGGTAAGTTTTAAATTATTTTAATTGCAACATTGTTGTCTTTGGTTTTTCATTACTCACATTGTCTAAATGTAGCAGACAGCATTAGTTGACTTTTTTCCCTTCCTCAAGCTTAATAGAAGTCCAG